TCCCGGGATTGTTTGGGCTCGACCTGTTAAGAGTATGGCTTTTATTCTGCAGTTGTGCTATCGCCATTTGTTGAGCCTGCAACATTTCAAAATCAGTCGTAGGCTCCCCCCATCACCTTCACCTTCGAGCGCTTCTCGAGTCGTTGGTCGAGGTTCTCCGCAAATACTATTTTCGGGATCAGTTGGAAAATTGATGTTGATGGCCTCCTGCGAGTTAGCATCGAACGGGACACCATTGGGATCGGCAGGAAGTACATCATTACTGGACACCACATTATTATTATTTTCACTATGATGGCCTGACTCAGCGTCAATGTTCAAGTGAGCAGACTGAGAGTTTGACATTTTTAGGCTGACCAGTAATTAAGATTTTAAAGAACAAGCGTAAAATAGGGCATGTTATGGAGATTCATACCAAATTATCACTGTTATCCTTAGCCCCACGGTGGGCGCCGAACTATTTACCTTAAAAATGAGTAACAATTAAATTTGTATGCGGTTTAAATGATACGTGTTTTAATTTAATACGAATAATTAAGAATAAAAGATAGATGAATTAAAGACGAAATAAATGATCAAACCAATCGAAATGTAATGACCAAGCCTGATCTAAGATTGGACAATGAGACTCATCCTTGATTGGACCCTCGGTACAAGCTCGGTCGTGAGTGGATAACAGAACAATCGAATAATACCTTGAACGGTAGCTAGAAGACAAAAGTAAACTTTTATTACTTTGAATTGCGTGTTACGATGTGTGAGACTAAAGAAAAACTCCCCCTTTATTTAGTAGGAGAATTTCATTCCTAGTACAAGTCCTAAAAAGGTACAACAACAACAACAACGACCCAGTAGAATCCCACGGTAATTGTTGATCTATAATGAACACAGAACAGGATTCGCGCTGTAAAATCTGGTTGAGGGCGAATATTATGGCCCCCTATCTGTCATGCATAACCGTCTACCGTATCTCCGAGGTACAGAAGTCATACTTGGTCCGGGACACGTCGCCTTACCGTGTCGGATCTCCAATACATCGTTCATTCTTCTCGGGTCTTGATATGAGGGGTTTTCAACCTCAATTATAATTTCGTCAATCCGTGCTTCCCTTCATTATCTCACTAGGGAATCGTAGAAAACTTTGTCTCCGATTTTACCCGTACAGAATAATAAGTTTTACTAATATAATTGTATATTTTTTTACTTGGAATTGTGTTTTTTTACATTTCATGGAAAAATGGTCTTTGCAGTTATTTGTCCATTTTAGCCACTAGTGTTGTTCCTTACCTCATGTTGATGAACTTATATTACTTTATCAGTAACGGTTGTGTGAAGTGAAAAATACTCATTCGTTATTAACTAAAGTTTTTGGGTTTAAAGTAAAGTCTATTTGTTAAGGATCACTTTATTCGTTAATGTGGTTTTTTTTTTGTGCGAATCCAAATTTAATCGGACCCTAATATGAATACCGGATAAAGAATGAGAAACCAAAAGAAAGAACTTAAATTTCTTTTGTAAAAATGTACAAGAGCAATTGCATAGACCATTCATATCATATATGTCCAAACCACAACTTCTTCTCCTTTCAATTGTTCAAACCCACAACTTTATGTTACTTGAGTGGTGTATTCAAACATATTGCCCCATTCTCCAAAATCCCGATACACTAGACCAACAATTTTGGCCAAAAATACACAATAATGTGCTTACGAGGAGGGGCATTTTGGAATGTTTGACAAGAAAAGGAAAAGTTTAAGGGCTTTTGACACGCACAAGATCCATCTTTGGCTAGAATTCGGTCTTACATCCAAAAAATAGAATAATATACTGGCTAGGCTAGTTTTAGATGGGATAATATAATGATGTTTTGAGCATAAGCAAATATTAATGAAGTTAAAGTTGCATATATCTTTTTAATTTGTAATGGTTGCGTCTTGGCTAATTAGCGCACATCTTCAATTCTCCATCAACAGAAATAGCGGGAAATTCTACCTTCTAAAGTTCAAACGAATAGACAAAAATCTATTTTTGTTACTAGAATTTAAATTTTAATCTTAACATTATATTTATCCTACTTTATTAGCTATTACATCTCTAGAGACAGATATTGAAATTTCCATTCGGATGGTTGATGCAATTAATCTCAAGACAAAGGTAGGAGCTTTGTGATAAATTCAGAAAATGTATATAAATGGACTTAAATTCAGAAAATGTAATAATAGTTGAGGAGCGAACTGATTACCTATTGAAGATATCACTTGGAAAACTGATGCTGTTTCACAAAAATGAACTTTAAAGTAAAGCAAAAGATCAGCAAATCCTATAAAAGAGGAAGAAGCAAAATCAATTTGTAGACAATAGAAAATAAAGTTGTGCTTTATAAGGTAAATCTATAGTTCAATAAACCAATTATAACAAAACAACGACAGATACAAACTTTAAAAATACAAAGTGCTGATTAAAGAAAATACTGAAGGAGAGGAAGAAGATTCCTTCATATTGATTAATTACTTAAACATTGTCATTAGAGAACTAAAATTCAGAACGATGAACTGCAAGATAGTAGATGAAAAGCAATAATAGCATAATATTGTTTTTAGCCTAACTGAAAATCATGCTTGAGGTTGTATACCTTGCAATATGAAGAATGAGTGTTTGGATTCCTTTTCAATTACCTGGATAGTGAAGAAGAAGATAATATGATTTACGAGGGAGGACTATAAAAGTTCTGTAATCAAGATGTCACCATAAAAATTATGGTAACTAATATTACAGATAATTTAGTGAAATTAAAGTGTTCAAGTATGTAATAAATGGAGTTAATTCTCTGGATAGTCACCCAATTTATGAGAATATTCTATCAAAATTACTTTTGTTTGGTTTGGATTTTGGAACAATGAAGTCATCCAACTATTCCTTCTTGAATTAAAAAATAAATAACATTCATTTGGCATGCCAGGTCATATTAAAAAATATATTTTTAATGTTAAAACTTATTTTTCTACAAATAACTCTTTTTCTTTCCTTGCAAACATTGTTCTGATTAATATGATCTATTAAATTATTCTTACGGGAGATTTTTAGGTAACGACAAATGGTACATCAATCAAGTATCGACAAGGTTTGTTCGTCTTGCTTCAATTAAATGACATATGATTATGGAAAAATAAAGTGGCTGACACATTTCAATAAAACTTGATAAGAAAATGATGATACAAGTTATAATAAACCAATATTTAAAACAAATAAACATGGATGCACTTTATAGTTTTATTAAATATTAAATTTTTTGAGAGGATCACAAATATTTTTGAATATATTTTTAAATTTTTTTTATATAAAAGTATATATAAAAATTATATATTTATTTTGTTTAAATTTTTTTACTCAATACCAAACTAAATCAAACCAAGCCTAATCGATTTTTTTGATTAACTTTTTAATTTGGTGCGGTTTTCGATTTGGTTTGAATATCCATGCCTGCATGTTATGCCTTAGGTTATTGCATAGTACGTACCCGATGGAATAAAAATACGGGTATTAGCTATATTTTTCCTTTAATTGTTATACTTTAATCATGTTTGAGTTAGAATGTGTGTGTTTTATATTCATTACGTGTTTAGGGTGTGTAGGACTTGCTAATGACCAAAGAAATAATTTTGGAGCTAAAATAGATAACTTAGAACTTCGAAGTATGAATAGAATTCCAAAATAATCAACTGAGATTGAGTTTGAGGGTCAAAAACCAAGTGTGCATGAAAAGAACTGAAAAATAACTTAAAACTCCAAAAATAGTCTATCAAGAGATGTCATGCAAGGTCTCACATGAGGTGCTCGGCATATGTCAGAAGTGCAAAATTTACACTTCCAAAAAAAACCCTTCTACTACGTTGGGGCATGCGTCATATCATATGGCGTGGTAGGCTTTTTTCAGGCATGTGTGGTCTGATTTGTGGTTCATAAAGAGTATTTTGGTCCAAAATCGTTCCTATATGGTGTAGATACATGAAAATACGATTTTAATTTAAGAAATTTTTGACCTGCGAAAGATTAGGAGATCAATTAAGGCTTGAAGAAACACAGATTCGTTGCTATTTCCACCAGCAAATGATTCAATACACAAGTTTGGGTTGAAAGTTGGTTGTAATATTTTTTAATTTCTATTCTTTTACGATGATATTGTTTTTGCTATTTGTGGAGTAGTTTTACCTTAAGGGTTTTGATAGACATGATGTTTTGAGTGTTATGGATTTGACTCTTGTTTAATTTTTTGAATTTGTTGATAGAGTTTTCATATGAATTGCAGAGTTGCTTACTATATTATTTAATCGTATGTCACGGTCCAAAACTTCACTAAGTCGTGATGATACCTAACCCAACCCGCTAGGTAAGTCCAACAGTATAAGTCACTATTATGGTAAGAAACTAACAAAGACAGTGAATGAAATAGCCAAAAGAGTTTAATATAATTATCCCAATGAATGATAGTACAAGTCAAGAGCGACTATGAATAAGAGTACAACTTCAGTTTGAGGAAAAATACGTCATCTATTTGAAATTTACATCGACAGAGTTATAACTTCTAATCTGCCACGAACAAATGGTAGCTTGTATCGGGACTGCTGGTACATCTTTAATGCTAGACTCTCGAACCCCCGAGGCGCTCTTCTCCAAATATCTGCACGCAAGGTGCGAAGTGTAGTATGAGTACAACCGATCCCACGTACTCAGTAAGTATCTTGACTAACCTCGGTGAAGTAGTGATGAGATTTTTAGGTCAAAGATACTCACTAATATAACCAGTTCAGTTAATATAACCGAGGGGTAAGGGGGATAAGAGGGCTAAGGGAGCTAAGAGTGGGGTCTTGGAACATAGAAACTTTGATTGGAAAGTCTGTAAAGTTAGCGAAGATTTTTGAGAAAAGAAAGATTAATATAGCTTTTGTATAGTAGACTAGATGGGTAGGAGATAAGGCGCGAGATGTGGACGGGTTCAAACTATGGTATTCTTCAAGGGTGGGGGCAGGAACGGGGAAGGTATCTTGGTTGATAAGGATCCCCGTAAAGAAGTGGTGGACGTTAGGAGGGTGAATGATAGGCTGATGACTATTAAGCTAGTTGTTGGAGGTTTTAATTTGAACATAATCAGTGCGTACGCACCCCTAGCAGGCTTGGATGAGGAAATCAAAAGGCGTTTCTGGAAGGATTTGGATGAGATGGTGCGTGGTATTCCGCATACCGAGAAGCTTTTCATAGGAGGAGATTTCAACGACCACATTGGAGCAACGTTTGGGGAGTATGATGATGTGCATTCTGACTTTGGTTATGGAGATAGAAACGGAGGAGCAACTTCTTTGTTGGACTTTGCTAGAATGTTTGATTTGGTGATAGCAAAATCGAGTTTTCCGAAGAAGATGGAGCACTTGGTCACCTTTCAGAGTTTGGTGGTCGAGACTCAGATTGTTTATCTACTCTGCAGAAAGTCCGATAGAGGTCTTTGCACAGATTGCATGGTCATCCCGAGTGAGAACCTTTCGACCCTTCATAGGCTCCTGGTCATGGACCTTGAGATCACGAGGAAGAGGGCGGTGTATAGCCAACATAGGAGTGGGGAGCCTTGACGGAAGATAAAGCGCAGGAGTTAGGGGTCAAGTAATTGGCTATGGGGGCTTGGAGGAGTAATGGGGAAGCAAGCGCTATGTGGACCACAATTGCACATAGCATTACGGAAGCCGCTAGAGAGGTATTAGGGATCTCGAAGGGTTACTCTGGTGGCCATAAGAGAGACTGGTGGTAGAATAGAGAGGTGTAAGGAAAAGTGGAAACCAAGAAATCGACGTATCTGAAGCTAGTGGAAAGTGTAGACGAAGAGGACAAGTGGGCGAATATGGAGAAGTATAAGTTGGCTAAGAAGGAGGCGAAGTTAGCAGTTATGGCGGCCAAGACTGTAGCTTTTGGTCATTTGTATGAGGAACTAGAGGGTCAAGGTGGAGATACAAGGTTGTTCAGGTTAGCCAAGGTGAGAGAAAGGAAGACTTGTGACTTGGACCAAGAAGGTAGAGTTTTGTTGGATGAGGGGCTTATCCGTCGGAGATGCAGACCTACTTCTATTATCTCTTGAACAAGGAGGGGGACAAGAGCATTGCACTGTGTGATTTGGAACTCTCTAGGAGTCATTATGACTTTGGGTATTGTAGGCGGATTAGAGTTGAGGAGGTTGAGGGGGCTATGTGCAAGATGAGCAGGGGCAAAACGATCGGGCCGGATGAAATCCCGGTAGGGTTTTGGAAGAGTGCGGGCAAGGCATGCTTGGAGTGGCTCACTAGGTTATCTAATGTCATTTTTAGAATGAAGATTGATGCCCAAAGAGTGGAGGTGGAGCACAATATTTCCTGTATAGAAGAACAAGGGTGATATCCAAAATTGCAACCTGCTTAGCTATACTATGGAAGTGTGGGAGAGGGTGGTTGAGCTAAGGGTGAGGAGGAGTGTGTCTATTTCCGACAACCAGTTCGGATATGCCGGAGCGTTCGACTACAGAAGCCATTCACCTTTTTTGGAGATTGATGGAGCAGTATATGGAGAGGAAGGACTTGCATATAGTATTCATCGAATTAGAAAACACGTACGATAAAGTCCTGAGGGAGGTTTTTTGGAGATGTTTGGAGTCTAGAGGTGCACCTGTTGACTACATTAGGATGATTACAGACATGTATGATGGAGCTAAGATGTCATACATCATATAGTGGGAGGGACTCGAACCATTTCCCGGTCATGATGGGGTTGCATTAGGGGTCGCCACCCAGCCTTTTTTTTGTTTTCCTTGGTGATGGACATACTAACGCGCCGTATCCAAGGGGAGTTACCATGGTGCATGCTATTTGTAGATGATATTATATTAATTGACGAGATGCGAGGCGGTGTGAATGCGAGGTTAGAGGTATGGAGGCAGACCTTGGAGTCTAAAGGTTTCAAGTTGAGCAGGACCAAGACACAATACTTGGAGTGTCAGTTCAGTGGTGTGACTTAGGGAGGGGAAGAGGAGGTGACGCTAGATTGGCAGATCATCCCTAGGAGAGGAAGGTTTAAGTACCTTGGATCTATTATACAAGGGGATGGGAAGATTGATGAAGATGTCACACATCGTATTGAGGCTGGGTGCATGAAATGGAGACTCACTTCTGGCGTTTTGTATGAAAAGAAGGTTCTACCGAAACTTAAAGGTAAGTTCTACAGAGTGGTGGTCAGATCGACTATGTTGTATGGGGCTGAGTGTTGGTCAGTCAAGATCGCTCATGTACAGAAGATGAAACTAGCAGGGTTGAAGATGTTGACATGGATGTGCAGGAACACCAAGTTAGATAGGATTAGGGATAAGGTTATTTGCGACAAGGTGAGTGTGGCTTCTATTGAGGACAAGATGCAGGAAGCAAGGCTTAAGTGGTTTGGACATGTGGGAAGGAGGAGCACAGATGTCCCAGTGAGGAGGTGTGAGAGGTTGACATGGGAGGGCCTACGAAGAGGTAGAGGTAGGACGAAGAAGAAGTGGGGAGAGGTGATTAGGCGAGATATGGCACAGCTTCAACTGACTGAGGACATGACCCCTGATAGAAAGGTGTGGAGGTCGAGGATTAGGGTAGTAGGGTAGGTGGTTTACATTTTTCATATCGGTAGTATTGGCACACATTCTCGCATTCTGTTTATAGTAGGTTTTTATGACTAACCATTGTTTTCTTTCTTTGTTGGTCATCTTATGATCTAGTTGTTTTCATATGCTTTTATATAGCTTTTTGGTGTTGTCCCTTGTTGTCTATATTTTTATTTATATGGTGATTATGCTTTCCTAAGCCGAGGGTCTACTGAAAACAACCTCTCTATCCTCACAAGGTAGGGGTAAGGTCTGCGTACACACTACCCTCCCCAGACGCCACAGTGTGGGATAATACTGGGTATGTTGTTGTTGTAGTTAAATTTACAATAGAAATAACACTAGAATAACAAATTAAATTGCAAGAACAAGTATGAGAAGTAGCAAATTATTAACTAAAATAAACAAAGATCGATTTTCCAACAACCAATCCCCTTCTAACAGCTCATGTCACGAGGTTAAATAGTAACCCACGGATCTTCGTAATATGAGGAACGTGTTCAATATATCGAATCAAATGTCATGACAATACGCTTACCCTTCGTGCATTTACGTCATCCTCACCAAATATATTCTTGTATGTCAAATCAATCGCACGGCAACACCTGTAATGACCCGACAATTTTTTTGAGCTCCAGCATGTCGTTCGGCAGTTTGAGGCCTTGCTTAGCTCCAATTCATGTATTATGACTTGAACGCATGTTTGATTTTGATTTTTGAGAAGTTCGGAGTTGATTTGGAATAATAATTCTCAATTCGAAAACTTTAAGTTAAAATAATTGACCAATGTTTGACTTTTGATTAAACGACATCAGATCGGAGTTTTGACGGTTTCATTAGGTCAGGATGGTAATTTTGGACTTAGGCGTATGTCCGTATTTGGATTTGGAGGTTCGTAGGTTAATTTAATGCTTTTTGGCAAAAGTTAGGAAATTGAAGGTCTGGAAGGTTGATAGTTTTGACCGAGCGTTAACTTTGTTGATATAGGGTCCGGATTGTAGTACCGGGAGTTTGTATAGGTCCGTTGTGTCAATTGGGACTTGCATACGAACGTTGAGGTCATTCCGGGTTGATTTGGCATGGTTCAACATGAGTTTTAGAAGTTTAGAAGTTCATTAGTTTATTAGGATTGAATTGATGTGCGATTCATAATTTTCATGTTATTTGGTATGATTTGAGGCCTCGTATGTTTGTATTATGTTTTGGAACAGGTTGGTGTGATTGGGCAGGGCCCCGGTGGTCTCGAGTGTGTTTCAGATAGGTTTGGGTTGTGTCGTGCTCTTATTTGATGTTTCAACGTCGTTTCTTTGGGTATAAAGGGTACCATATTGACCGAACTACCTTTATTTGTGATTACATTGAACCAGTATATCTGTATCGTAACTACATAAACCAGAATCATCTAGTTCCGAGGTCGAATGAGAGAGTTATGCACATTTCTGTGTCGGGAAAGATTGCTAGTTTCTGGTGCGAACTTTTGTTCTTCGTGAATGCGAGAGTTTTCCCATGAATGCGAATAAGAAATTCTTGGTTTACCGGTCAACGCGAAATTTTTTTCTTCGAGAACGCGAAGGTGTCCCGCGAAGGCCAAGAACAAAAATCACCTGGGCAATGTTTTAAAGGGGTAGACCGAACATTTTATTATTTAGAGCATATCGTGAGTTCTAGAGCTCCGTTTGAGGTGTTGTTTGCAGCGTTGTTCTCGTATCAACAAGGGGGTAAATATATAACCTTTATTTTCATGTTTTCCTGTGATTATTTCCATTGGTTATTACTTTTATCCGTGTTTGGATGATAGAAATTGGGATTTTGAGCCCCAAAGTTGACATATGATAAACCCTTGATTTGAGGGTCAATTCATGGACGAAATTGGATGCTTTTCTGGATATAGACTATATAAGTTATGGGTAATATTTTTTTTTTGATAATTTTGGAATCGGGGCACGTGGACCCGGTGTTGACTTTTCGGCCAGAATTGGGAATTGCTATAAATTATTAAATTGCAAGTATTGGAGTATATTTTTAATGGTTTTCACGTTCTTTTATTACTTTTGGATCGTTTATCATCGGTTTAAGGTGTTAGATAGGCATTGAAGCCGGTTATCGAATTTCGGAGTGAGGTAAGTCTCATGTATAACCTTGTGAGGGGGAAACTACCCCTTTGGTATTGTATTTTGTTACATGCTACTTGTATGGGAGTTACGTACGTACGAGGTGACAAGATTCCATACGTAGCTAAAATCATGCTCTCGTCTAGGTAGACTTAGGACTTTATCATGCGATTTTTATATTACCTAAACTCAATTTGTTAGTTTAATTACCAAAAACTTGTAAATGTAATTTGATTAGAGATCATGATAGAACAAACCTCATTACCTTGAGGTGTTTGGCCGGATATTTGATCGTTGGTAACAGTTATGCTTACTTATATTCCTATTCTTGTGTTGCAAACACGTGGCCGCAATTTGATAAGTTTCTCCTCTTCTTGTGGATCGAGCCGAATGCTTCAGCAATATATTTGAGATGCATCTATGGTTCGCGCCGGTCGACCCTCAGCAGTGTACACATTATTCTGAATGACTCGAGAGGAGGATTAAACGGTTCATGGTTTAGAGGTTCAGCATATAATCCTAGCGGAAGAGAGCCAATTAGACTATGGATGTTCAAGCTTTGGTTGACGGAGTAGGGAGATTGGATATTTTCAAACTTGGTCGAAATCTTGTTTGTGTTATGGTGTTGTCATTCTTGTTTGGACGCATTAAGGCTCGTCAGTATGACGGTATTCATTTGTTTTCCTTTGGGGCACGGTGTTGTTAAATGGTATCTAAAAACCGATTATCGGGGGTGATAGTGTGTTGCAATTTTAGGGTCGAATCGGTGTTTCTAGTGTCGATGGCTCGAGAAAAATGATCTTAAGGAGGCTTAGAGTTGATGTTAATCTATTTGTTCGGGTGCTGCAGAGATGGATCGTGA